CACCCAAAAACAATTATCCAGAACAGCCTTTCCACCAGCATGGACAATTTTAGTGCTCTGAGGTGTCCCCTCCCTGCTGTCCCTGCAGAGACATTGCGTCCAACCGTCGGGAGCTGCTGCAGCTGCGCATCACCCACGTGCTGAACGCCTCCCACTGCCGCTGGCGCGGCGGCGCCGACTACTACGAGGGCACGGGCATCCGCTACCTGGGCATCGAGGCCCACGACTCGCCCTCCTTCGACATGAGCCCCTACTTCTACCCCGCCGCCGACTTCATCCACCAGGCCCTCAACGAAGGTTCCTGAAGGGAAAGGGAGGAGAGGGAGAAGGGATGGGGGGAATGGAGAGGGGGTGGTGGTCTGGTGGTGGTTGTTGTTAAGGGTCATGGGAAACAAAGGGGTTTTGAGGCTGGGATGGTGTCTCCTCGTGGGTCATCCTAATGGTGTGTCCTCATGGGATGATCCCAATGGTGTCCCCTGGATGGGATCACCTCAATGGTGTCTCCTCATGGGATCACTTTAATGATGTTTCCTCATGGGATAATCCCAATGATGTCTCCTCATGGGATAACCCAAATGGTGTCTCCTCATGGGATAATCCCAATGGCGTCTCCTCATGGGATAATCCCAATGGTGTTTCCTTGTGGGATCACCCCAATGGTGTCTCTTCATTAGATAATCCCAACGGTGTCCCCGGGACGGGATCACCTTGATGGTGTCTCCTCATGGAATAATCCCAGTGGTGTCTCCTCATGGGATCACCTAGATGGTGTCCCCTAGATGGGGTCACCTCAATGGTGTCCCCTCATGGGATGACCTTGATGGTGTCCCCTGGATGGGATAACGCTCATAGTGTTTCCTCATGGGATGACCTCAATGGTGTCCCCTGCACAGGATCACCTCAATGCTGTCTCCTCATGGGATAATCCCAATGGTGATCCCTCATGGGATCACCCCAACGATGTCCCCTGGATGGGATCATCTCAATGATGTCTCCCCATGGGATGACCTTGATGGTGTCCCTTGGATGGGATGACTTTGATGGTGTCCCCACATGGGATCACCTCAATGATGTCCCCTCATGGGCTGAAAATGTGAGATTTTGGGGCTGAAAATGTGAGATTTTGGGGCTGAAAATGTGGGATGTTCCTGGCTGTGCCGTGACGTGGCCACCATGTCCCCGCAGGGAGGATCCTCGTGCACTGTGCCGTCGGGGTCAGCAGGTCGGCCACCCTGGTCCTCGCCTACCTCATGATCCGCCACCACATGCCCCTGGTGGAAGCCATAAAGACGGTCAAGGACCACCGCGGCATCATCCCCAACCGCGGCTTCCTGCGCCAGCTGGTGGCCCTGGACAACGCCCTGCGCCTCCAGAGGAGCTCCTGAGGGGCTGCCACTGTGTGAGCTCTGCCCGTGGCTCCCCCACAAACCCCCCCAAGCTCGGGGGGTCCCCCATGGTCCAGCCCAGACCCTCCGCCTGCACTCCTGGCCATGGTTTCCTTCCCAGCCCCACCTCACCAGCTGCTCCATCCCCGTGGCCTCCAGGGAGCCTCCAAGGCTTTGTTGTCCCCGCTGGCGTTTGTGTCCCCGGCTGCCAGGACAGCTCCGTGTCTGTGTTTGTGGTGATGTCAGGCGTGGTGTGCGGGTGTTTGGGTGTTCTCCGTGCCTCGTGCCACCCTGTGACAATAAAGGCAGAGCTAAGGAACGGCCTGGACACGCCTGGTGGGACTGGGGACAGCTCGGGGTGGCATCGGGCATGAGACTGGGGGACAGAGCGTCACCTGAATGCTTGGGGTTGAGATGGACCCGAGTGCCCCCAAACTCAGTCCAGGGATCAAACCTGGGATCCTGCTCAGTGCCCAAACCTGGGATCCTGCCCAAACCTGAGATTCTGCTCAGTGCCCAAACCTGAGCCCCTGCCCAAAACCTGAGATCCCACCTAAACACGAGATCCCGTTCAGTGCCCAAAGCTGAGATCCCACCTAAACCTGAGATCCAGCTCAGTGCGCAAAGCTGAGATCCCACTCAGTGCCCAGACCTGAAATCCTGGCCAAACCTGAGATCCCATCCAAATCTGAGATCCCACTCAGTTCCCAAACCTGAGATCCTGCTCAAATCTAAGATCCTGCCCAAGTCTGAGATCCTGATCAGTGCCCAAACCTGAGATCCCACCCATATCTGAGATCCTGCCCAGACCTGAGATCCCACCTAAACCCAAAGATCCCACTCAGCGCCCAAACCTGAGGTCCTGCCCAAACCTGAGATGCAGCTCAGTGCCCAAAGCTGATTCCACTCAAATATGAGATCCCACGTGCACGGGGTGAGCAAACAGGGGTGAACCGGGATAACCCTCGGGACACGGGACAGGCTGGGGATGGAGCTGGGGTGAACTGGGATAACCCTCGGGACATGGGACAGGCCAGGGATGGAGCTGAGGTGAACCGGGATAATCCTGGGAATACGTTCCCTGTGCTCAGGGACAGGCTGAGATGAACCGGGATAACTCTCAGGACGCAGGACAAGCTGGGGAAGGAGCTGGGATGACCTGGGATAACCCTCGGGACACGGGACAGGCCGGGGATGCTGTCCCGGGATGCATGGCCCCGTTTCGGGAGGGAATCCCCGTCCCCGCGGGTGCTCTGGGGACGGGGCTGAGCTCCCGGCTGGAATTTCCCGGGATTTCCCGACCCGTGCCGTTTCACACCCGCCCTCGGCCGCGGTCTCACCTCCCACAGCGGAGCGGCGCCGTCTGCCCGGAGGATTCTCGGCTGCAGGAGGAGCTGGGAGCGCTCACGGTTTTCCACAGACAGCGAGTGCGGGGAGCGGCCAACTCCCGGCGGGAATCCGCATTCCCGAATTCCTGCCCGCAGGAATTGCAAGAATTCCCGGTGGGAATCAGAATTCCCGAATTCCTGCCCGTATTTGCTGGGAATTCTCGGCGGGAATCAGCATTCCCACGTTCCTGCCCGCAGGTGGCTGCAATTCCCGGTGGGAATCGGCATTCCTGAATTCCTGCCCGCAGGAATTGCAGGAATTCCCGGTGGGTATCAGAATTCCGGAATTTCTGCCCGCAGGAATTGCGGGAATTCGCAGCAGGAATCGGCATTCCTGAATTTCTGCCCACAGGAATTGCGGGGATGCCGGGCGGGAATCGGCATTCCCCAATTCCCGGTGGCATTCCCGCGTTCCTGCCCGCAGGGGTCTTGGGCTCTGTGCCAGCGTCTCTGAGCCCCCTGGCAGGGGTTCTGGCAATCCAGGACAGACAGAGGGATGTCCTGAATTCCGACAGGATTGTACAGTTTTGTGTCCAAAAAATGATTACATGGAGGATTTTTAACCCATCTGAGCTGTGGGTGCTATCAGGGGACCCCAGGGGGGTGCTGAGCCCCCAGGGAGGGAACATTGCTGACTGTCACACTGTAACGTGGTGACAAGCTGCCCAAAATACACCAAACTGCCCCCAACCTGTGCCCAAATCAGGGCAGGACCGCCCCCCCCCCCCCACCGAATCTTCCCAATTTCCCTGCTTTCACACATCTGAGAGATGATGACATCAGTAGTGACATCACTGAACCCTCCAGGACCGGCCACCCACCAGGCTGAGCCCACATCAGGGTGGACCCACCAATTTGCCCATTCCCAGTGATTTTTGTCCCAGAGAATGTGACATCAGCAGTGACATCACAGAGAGCCCAGGGGCTGAGCACACCCCCCCTTAATTTGCTAATTTCCACTGATTATTGACACGGGGAGGAGATGACGCGGCAGTGACATCACAGAGCCAATCACCAGGCACTTACACGCCGAGGGGATGACATCAGCAGTGACGTCATACACCCCATAACACCCGCCTAGCTATTGAATTTTGTGGTTTTGACATAAGGGAATGATGTAGCAGTGATGTCACAGAGCCAATCACCAGGCACTTACACACGAAGGGGATGACGTCAGCAGTGATATCATACACCCCCTAACATCCTCCTAACTATTGAATTTCACTTGTTTTAATATGTGGGAATGTTGTCAGCAGTGACATCATACACCCCATAATATCCTCCTAACTATTGAATTTCGTGGTTTTGATGTAAGGGAATGACATAGCAGTGACATCACAGAGCCAATTACCAGGCACCTCACACGCCGTGGGAATGATGTCAGCAGTGACATCATACACCCCGTAACATCCTCCTAGTTAAGGGAATGCTGTGAGTGACAGCAGTGACATCACAAACCCAATTTCCAGCCACCTCACACAGCACGCAGATGACATCACCCACCACACGGTTGTAGGTCAAAAATTATTCTGTTCTTAACACACAAGCGGTAAAAATGACGCCATGGTGACGTCAGGACCCCCCGGCGGTCAGATGGGACTGTGCAATGTCGTAACGCAGGGCGCACACGTCACGCAGCCGCGTGCCACTCCCATTCATCATTTCCATGAACCGGAAGGATCGCTGAAATGGCCGCCGCGCCCGAACCTAGTGCCGCGATACTGCTCAGCCGGTCACGGCGACATCAAACCCCCACTCAGCTTTCCCAGATTTTTCGTTTATCCCCTCTGAGCCGTTCTTCTAATACCTCTTGTTCCCGATTTTTCCGCTCCACACCGCCGCACGGCCGCCCTGCCGCGCTCCGCTGTCTGAAATTAGCTATGCTAATTTATGCGCACAAACCACGCCCGCTCCGCCATCGGCTTTACGGCAAGCGAAGGGTTTTGCGACAGTTCGCGTGCGTGGTGCGGGTGGCGGCGGCGCCGCCGTGACGGGACCGGGGGTGCTCGGGTGTCTGTGAGGGATCCCGGGGTGCTCGGGGGGTTTGTGAGGGATCCTGGGGGTCTGCGAGGGGATCGTGGGGTGCTCGAGGTGTCTGTGAGGGGATCCCGAAGTGCTCAGGGGTCTTTGAGGGATCTCGGGGGTCTCTGAGAGATCCTGGGGATGCTCGGGGGTCTGTGAGTTATCCAGGGGGTGCTCGGGGGTCTCTGAGGAGATCCCAGGGGTCTCTGAGGGATCCCGAGAGTCTCTGAGGGAGTCCCCCGGGTGCTCGGAGGTCTCTGAGGGATCCCGGGGATGCTCGGGGGGTCTCTGAGGTGTTCTGGATGTGTCTCGGGGGTCTCTGAGGTTTTCCGGGGGTGTCCCGGGGTTCCGTCTCCCCGCAGTTCGCCGCTACCCCCATCGATGTATCCCTAGCGGGGTTCCAGGGCGGGCCGGTCCCGCGGTTCCCGTGCGAGGCCATGGCCGGCACCAGCACCACCCGCAGCCCGAGCCCGGAGCGGGGCCCCGGCACTCCCTCGGCCGAGCAGGCGCTGCTGCGGGCCGGGCAGGCGCTGTGCGAGCGGCCCGGGGCGCTGCGGGAGCTGGGCGCGCTGCTGGAGGCGGCGGATCCCGCGGCTCTGGCCCGGCTGGCGGCGGCGCTGGGCGGGCTGGCGGCTCCGCCACGCCGGGAGCAGGACGGGGCCGAGCCGCCCGGCCGGGACACGGCGTTAGCGGCCGTGGCGGAGCGGGCAGAGCGCGTTGGCGCCGCGTTCCTGCTGCTCCTGCAGAAGCTGGAAGATGCCCGGAGCCAGGAGTCGCCGATGAAGCCCATCCCGAAACGGGTGCTGGGACACGCGTTCATCTTTGCTGTCACGCACAAAGAGGAGAGGCCCTGGACCACGGCGAGGAGTCGGGCGGTGGCTCAGGAGGTGCTGGAGCGGCTGCTCCGGACTGCGGGCTCCGGGTCCGTGGAGGAATTCCTGCAGGGAAAGGAGGGGGATGAGGAAGGAAGATTCGGAGAGGTGATGGGCATCCTGAAGCAGGAGTTAACCAAGTGAGTGGGGAGTGTGGCGTGGTAGAAGGTTTCTGTGGGAAGTACTGGGAAATTTGGGAAGTACTGGGAAGTTTGATACTCAAGAGATGATAACTATGAAACCAGGAGCTTTCCAAATGGAAGGTGTCGGGATCTCTGCTGGTCAGAGTGACCTCGAGAAATGTTCCAAAGTCTCTTTTCCCAGCCCAGCACTTGAAGAAGGAGTCAGGGCTCTTCATTTCTCGGTCTCAAGGTTGTTTATTTTTTCTTATCTATAAAAAATTTTCTCCTGCCCTGCCGAGGTCCGTCCAGCAGGACAGTTCCAGGCACTCTGCCTGCCCCCAGGGCGGTGTTATGTCTTTATACTAAAAACTACATGTACAATATTTACAATAACTTTCCAATACCTATCACCTATGTTAGACAGTGAGCTTCTACTCTAAACCAATCCAAAAGTGCCACCATCACAGCAGGAGATGGAGGCCAAGAAGAAGAAGGAGAAAGGCTGGACATGCCCAGATTCTTCCCTCTTGCCTCCTGAGCCCCCATACCAAAACCCCTAAAATCTACTTTTCCACCCCATGATAACTTCACTAATATTCTACTTAAACTGTTGTTGCTTGCTGATCTTTATATAAGGTTGGTAACTTGTTCCATGGGTCATAATGAAACCCACACAGGCATTTTGGGCTCTGTGCCGGGGTCTCTGAGCCCCCTGGCATCCCTGGCAGAGGGATGTCCTGGCTCCTGACCAGGAAGGTGTTGGGGGATGATTGTCAGGGTTTGCTGCCAGCTGAGAGCCTCAAGTGGAAGGAAAATGAGCCCTGTGTGTTCCCTGAGCTGTCCTGTCTCTCCAGAGACACCTGGAAGCGTAACCCGGCCTCCAAGGACGTGTTCTCCTGGTCCCTGCTCCGTGTCAGCCGGCCCTGGCTGTGCCCGCACCTGGAGCGGGTCCTGCCGCCCGCGCTGCTCCTCTCCGACGACTTCCAGGAGGAGAACAAAGTGCTGGGCGTGCGCTGCCTGCACCACATCGTCCTCAACGTGGTGAGCGAGGGCGTGGAGCCCCCTGGGGCTGCGTGTGCAGGGAGGGGCAATCACGGGATGTCCTGAGCTGAGAGGGATCCGCAGTGATCCGAGTCGCAGCCCTGGCCCTGCACAGACCCCCAGCAATCTCATCCATGAGCGTTTCCTGGAGCTCTGGCAGCCCCGGGGCTGTGCCCGTTCCCTGGGCAGTGCCCAGCACCTCGAGACTGTGCCCAGAGCCTGGGCAGTGCCCAGCACCCTGTGGGGAAAGAACCTGTCCCTAAAATCCAGCCTGACCCTGCCCTGACACAGCTCCAGCTGTGGGTCAGGTTCCCAACTTCTCTTCCTGGTGAATGGCAGGGTTTAACCTGCAGTTCCTGCAGTTTTTTACATTCCCCAGGCTTTGGAAAGTTTAACCTGCATTTCCTGCAGTTCCTCACACCTTCCAGGCTTTGGCAAGGCCATGGCAGGGTTTAACCTGCATTTCTTGCAGTTTTTTACATTTCCCGGGCTTTGGGAAAGCCATGGCAGGGTTTAACCTGCTTTTCTTGCAGTTCCCCAGACTCTGGGAAGGCCATGGACAGGTTTAACCTGCATTTCCTGCAGTTTTTTACACTCCCCAGGTTTTGGGAAAGCCATGGCAGGGTTTAACCTGCAGTTTCTGCAGTTCCTCACAGCTCCCAGGCTTTGGCAAGGCCATGGCAGGATTTAACCTCCATTTTCAGCAGTTCCTCAGACTCTGGGAAGGCCATGGCAGGGTTTATCCTGCATTTCCAGCAGTTCCTTACACTCCCCAGGCTTTAGGAAGGCCTTGGCAGGGTTTAACCTGCAGTTCCAGCAGATCCCCAGACTCTGGGAAGGTCATGGCAGGGTTTAACCTGCAGTTCCTGCAGTTCCTCACACTCCTCCAGGCTTTGGGAAGTTAAACCTGCATTTCCAGCAGATCCCCAGACTCTGGGAAGGCCATGGCAGGATTTCAGCTGCATTTCCTGCAGTTCTCACACTCCCCAGGCTTTGGCAAGGCCATGGCAAATTTAACCTGCATTTCCCCACACTCCTCCAGGCTTTGTGAAGTTTAACCTGCATTTCCTGCAGTTCCCCACTGGGTTTAGCTCCCTGTGCTGCCCAGGAGTGACGTGCTGCTCTCTGTTGTTGCAGCCAGGAGCGGATCTGTGCCAGTTCAACAGGGCCCAGGTGGTTTTCCACGCCCTCTACAACCACCTCTACTCACGGGAGGCTCCTCTCATCCAGGTAGGACGGGGCCGCCCTGGGTTTTGGGGTGCCCTGCGGTGCAGGGAGCCCCTCAGGTGCAGGCAGGAGGCTGAGCCTGTTCTTGTCACCAGGAAAACACCACGGAGGGAGGAGCTGTTCCCTCCTGCCCCATTCCAGGCGGGCAGGGAGCAGCTTTGAAGCTCAGTGGGTGCCCACGGGGTTGGGATTTGCTGTGTTTTGGGGAGAACACTGCTCAGAATCCCCATTGTCCCCAAACCAGGCGGTGCTGCTGTGCCTGCTGGACCTGCTGCCCGTGCTGGAGCGGTGCCAGCGGCGCCAGGGCCAGGCCAGGGCCAGCTCCCCCTGGGACCAGGTGCTGCAGCTGCTGCTGGCACACATGGAGGCCGAGCACCGGCTGGCGCTGCGCAGGGTGTACGCGGGGACACTGCCTGCCTTTGTCACCAGGTGAGACACAGGGGACACCTGCACGCCTGTCTGAGGGGTGGGAGCTGCACTTTGGGCGTACCCACCTTCCTGAGGGACTGAGAGCACAGGGATGGGACCTGGGCTTGGTATCCAAGGGTTGGATCCCTCCTCAGGGTGTGTTTTTGGGATCCAAGGGATCTGTCCTCCCTCCTCAGGCTGTTTTTGGGATCCAAGGGCTCCTCAGGGTCTGTTTTTGGAGATCCAGGGGATCTGTTCTCCCTCCTCAGGGTGTGTTTTTGGGATCCAAGGGTATGCTTTCTCCTCAGGCTGTATTTTTGGGATCCAGGGGATCTATCCTCCCCCCTCAAAATGTGTCTTTGGGATCCAGGGGATGTATCCTCCCTCCTCAGGGTGTTTTTGGGATCCAAGGGATCCATCCTCCCTCCATGTTTTTGGAATCCAGGGAATCTGTCCTCTCTCCTCAGGGTGTGTTTTTGGCATCCATCCAAGGGATCTATCATCCTTCCTCAGTGTCTCTTTTGGAATCCAAGGCTATGCTTTCTCCTCAGGGTGTGTTTTTGGGATCCAAGGGGTCTATATCATCCCTCCTCAGAGTATTTTTAGGATCCAGGGGATCCTAAACACCCCTGGTGGATCCTAAACACACCTCAGGTTGTGTTTTTGGGATCCAAGGCATCTAATCTCTCTCCATGTTTTTGGGATCCAGGGGATCTATCCTCCCTCCTCAGGGTGTATTTTTGGGATCCAAGGCTATGCTTTCTCCTCAGGGTGTGTTTTTGGGCTCCAGGGGATCTATCTCCCCCCTCAAAATGGGGTTTTGTGATCCAGGGGATCTGTCCTCTCCATGGTTTTGGCATCCAGGGGATCTATCCTCCCTCCTCAGGGTGTGATTTTGGGATCCAAGGGATCTGTCCTCCCTCCTCAGGGTGTGTTTTTGGGGATCCAGGGGATCTATCCTCTCCATGTTTTTGGGATCCAAGGGATCTATCCTCCCTCCTCAGGGTGTATTTTTGGGATCCAAGGCTATGCCTTCTCCTCAGGGTGTGTTTTTGGGCTCCATGGGATCTATCCTCCCTCCTCAAGAGTATTTTTGGGATCCAGGGGATCTGTCCTCCCTCCTCAGGATGTGTTTTTGGGCTCCAGGGGATTATCTCCCCCCTCAAAATGTGGTTTTGTGATCCAGGGGATCTGTCGTCCCTCAGGGTGTGTTTTGGGATCCAAGGGATCTCTCCTCCCTCCATATTTTTGGGATCCAAGGGATGTATCCTCCGTCCCTGTTTATGGGATCCAAGGGATCTATCCTCCCCCCTCAGGGTCTGTTTTTGGGATCCAAGGCTATGCTTTCTCCTCAGGGTGTGTTTTTGGGAACCAAGGAATCTGTCCTCCCTCCTCAGAGTATTTTTGGGATCCAGGGGATCAATCCCCACCTCCTCAGGGTATATTTTTGAGATCCCTCCTCAGGGTGTTTTTGGAATCCAAGGGATCTATTCTCCCTCCTCGGTGTTTTTTGGATCCAAGGGATCTGTCCTCCCTCAGGGTGTTTTTGGAATCCAAGGGATCTATTCTCCCTCCTCAGGCTGTTTTTGGGATCCAGGGGATCTGTCCCCCCTCCTCAGGGTGTGCTTGTGCCCCCAGACTCGGCATCCTCATCGTGAGGCACCTGAAGAGGCTGGAACGAGTCATCCTGGGCTACCTGGAGGTGTCTGATGGCCCTGGGGAGGAGGCCAGGCTGGCAATCCTGCAAACCCTGCAGTGCACCATAGAGCACGCCTGGCCCAGGTACCAGAACAGCTCTCCTGCCATGAATGGCTCATTGCTATCCTGAACATTCCCACTTTAAAACCTGAGGTTACTTTTTCTTGAGAAAAAGCCCTGAAATCATTTCATTCCTGTCCTGACATTAATGTTTCATTCCTATATTCCCACTTTAAAACCTGAGGTTACTTTTTCTTGAGGAAAGCCCTGAAATCATTTCATTCCTGTCCTGACATGAATGGCTCATTCCTATCCTGAATCTTCCCACTTTAAAACCCAAACTTAGTTTTTCTTGAGGAAAAGCCCTGAAATCATTTAATTCCTGTCCTGACATGAATGGTTCATTGCTGTCCTGAATATTCCCACTTTGAAACCCAAAGTTACTTTTTCTTGAGGAAAAGCCCTGAAATAATTTCATTCCTGTCCTGACGTGAATGGTTCATTCCTATGTTCCCACTTTAAGACCCAAAATTATTTTTTCTTGAGGAAAAGCCCTGAAATCATTTCATTCCTGTCCTGACATGAATGGTTCATTCCTATCCTGAATCTTCCAACTTTAAAACCCAAAGTTACTTTTTCTTGAGGAAGAGCCCTGAAATCATTTCATCCCTGTCCTGACATTAATGTTTCATTCTTATCCTGAATCTTCCCCCTTTAATGAGGAAAAGCCCTGAAATCATTTCATTCCTGTCCTGACATGAATGCTTCATTCCTATGTTCCCATTTTAAAACGTGAGGTTACTTTTTCTTGAGGAAAAGCCCTGAAATCCTGAGGGAAATTTGTCCCACTGGCATTATTGAAAAACATGGCTCTAAAAAATTAATCTGGCTCCTCATTTTGACCCAACTTGTGCATAAATTAAACCGGCATGGAGTAAATAAACCCTGTGCTGTGGGCTGGGCTGGGCAGTGCCAGCATCCCCAGGTTCCTGCCTGTCTGGGGCTGTCCTGGCATCAATCCTGCACCAGGGCAGCCCCAGCTGTGCTGTCCCTGCCTGGGGAGGTTTGGGATGAGCTGTTTCCCTTGCAGGATGCCCTGCAGGCTCCCTGTGCTGCTCAAGGCCCTGCTGAGGCTGCTCTGGGACGTTCACAGCGAGCGGGGCCCGACCCCCGAGCCCGTCAGGGCTGCCCTGCTGCAGGAGGCCACGCAGTGCCTGATCCTGCTGGATCGCTGCTGCCAGGGCCAGGTCAAGGTGGGTGAGGGTTCTCTGGGGCTGCCAGGGCTCCCTGGGGGTGCCAGGGCCAGGTCAAGGTGGGTCAGGGCTCCCTGGGGGTGCCAGGGCCAGGTCAAGGTGGGTGAGGGTTCTCTGGGGCTGCCAGGGCTCCCTGGGGGTGCCAGGGCCAGGTCAAGGTGGGTCAGGGCTCCCTGGGGGTGCCAGGGCCAGGTCAAGGTGGGTGAGGGTTCTCTGGGGGTTCCCGGGGTCCCTGGGGCTGCCAGGGCCAGGTCAAGGTGAGCCAGGGATCCCTGGGGGCTGCTGGGGACAGGTCAAGGTGGGTCAGGGCTCCTTGGGGGTGCCAGGGGCAGGTCAAGGTGGGTCAGGGCTCCCTGAGGGCTTCCAGGGCCAGTGAAGGTGAGCCAGGGCTCCATGGGACTGTCAGGGCCAGGTCAAGGTGAGCCAGGGCTCCCTGGAGGATGTCAGGGTTCTTTGGTGGCTGTCAGGGCCAGGTGAAGGTGAGTTAGAGGTCCTTGGTGGCTTGCAGGGCTCCCTGGGGGCTGTCAGAGCCAGGTCAAGGTGGGTCAGGGCTCCTTGGTGGCTCTCGGAGCTCTTTGGTGGCTGCCAAGGCTCCTTGGGGGCTACCAGGGCCAGGTCAAAATGAGTCAGGGCTCCCTGGAAGCTCTCAGAGCCCCTTGGTGGCTGCCAGAGCCAGGTCAAGGTGAGTGAGGGTTCCCTGGTGGTTCTCAGAGCCCCTTGGTGGCTGCCAGAGCTCCTTGGTGGCTGTCAGGGCCAGGTCAAGGTGATTCAGGGCTCCCTGGGGGTGCCAGGGCCAGGTCAAGGTGGGTCAGGGCTCCCTGCTGGCTTCCAGGACTCCTTGGTGGCTGCCAGGGCCCCTCTCCCCCCTGAGCCCAGCAGGATTTTGGATGCCCCCTCCCCAGCAGCAGTGCTGAGTGACTCGGTGGCTGTTGGTGGGCTCAGTGTCACCTGGGAAGGGTGGGTGGCACCATCAGTGTCACAGGGCACTGCCATGCTGCTCTGCTCCCTGCAGGTGCTGCTGGCTGGGCTGCAGAGCAGCTGTGAGGAGAACAGGCTGCAGGAGTGCTTCAGGAAGGTGCAGGAGAGCTCCTGACACTGCTCAGCCCCTTTTGTACAATAAAATTGTTGTGTTTATTTAAAGTTCTGTCGTTCTTGTCCCATGCCCACCTTCCTGAGGGGGTGAGAGCACAGGGAAGGGCCCTGGGTTTGGTATCCAAGGGTTGGCTTGGGCACTGTGCCAGGGCACTGCCAGTGCTGCTCTGCTCCCTGCAGGTGCAGGAGAGCACCTGACACTGCTCAACCCCTTTTGTACAATAAAAGTCCCCTCGGGCTCTCCCCAATAAGCCCCTGTCCCCTCGGGCTCTCCCCACCTTCCTGAGGGTGTGGGAGCTGCACCTGGGGCACTGCCCACCTTCCCAAGGGGGGACAGGGGCACCTGGGGCTGTGGCCACCTTCCCCAGGGGATGGGAGCACAGGGAAAGGCCCCGGGTTTGGTATCCAAGGGTTGGTTTGGGCACTGTGCCAGGGCACTGCAATGCTGCTCTGCTGCTTTCAGGAGAGCACCTGAGGTGCCTGAGAGCACCTGACACTGCTCAGCCCCTTTTGTACAATAAAAATGTTGTGTTTATTTAAAGTTCTGTCGTTCTTGTCCCACCTGTGCACCCTACACCAGAGGGGACAGGGGCACCTGGGGCTGTGCCCACCTTCCTGAGGGAGTGAGAGCACAGGGATGGGCCCTGGGTTTGGTATCCAAGGGTTGGCTTGGGCACTGTGCCAGGGCACTGCCAGTGCTGCTCTGCTCCCTGCAGGTGCAGGAGAGCACCTGACACTGCTCAGCCCCTTTTGTACAATACAAATATTGTGTTTATTTAAAGTTCTGTCGTTCTTGTCCCACCTGTGAGCCCCACACCTCCCCAACACACAGCTGAGCTTTCAGGGAGCAGCAGAGCCCCCCAGGCCAGGGCCCTTCCTGGGCTCAGCTTTTTGGGGTTGCAGAGGAGGTGGGAGATGTTCCTTTGAGCGTTGTACAAACTCACTGCAACTGCCTGGGCTCGGGACACAAACCCCAGAAAATGCATGGAGTATCAAACCAGGGTCCTGTGAGGGGTGGAGGTGGGTGACAGATGCTGGAGTCACGCTCTGGTGGCACCTCTGGAGTTCAGTCAGTACAAAATGGCATCAGGAGGGCTCAGGCTGCTTTTGTCTTGGTGCTGGGCTCTGTCTCCTCCTCGTACTCGATCTCGATGTGGGGACGTTTTCTCCTGGCCGGGCCCTTCAGGGGCGTTTTCCCTTTGGATTTGGAGTGGGAGGCTTTCTCCTCTACTTCTTCCTCCTCTTCCTGCTCCTCTTCACTGCTTGTCTCCAGCTTATCCATGTCCTGAGGAAGAATTGAGTGATGTCAGGGCAGGTTGTGTAACTAAACCTCCTCTTTTCCCCAAAATCACCTTGTTAGGTTCCCACTTGGATCTGGGCTGGGCTCCCACTGCACAATTCTCTTGCAGAGCTGATTTTGCTGCCTCTGACCCCTCCCCAGAGGCACCCAGGGGTGGAGGTGCCCCTGCAGCTCAGCCTCAGTTGGCACCTGGTGCTTCACCCACCTCAAAGTCGCTGAGCTCGCTGTCCTCTGCCTCCACAAACTCCCTCTTATCCACGTCCTGCAAGGAACAGAGGCAGGGATTGAGCACAGCAGTGCCATGGAATAGCCACCAAATGGTTCTTCTGAGTTGTTCTCAGCCCAGCTCAGCACCAGGAAGCTTTACCTCATCATCATCATCCTCATCTTCTTCCCTCTCTGCATCCGACTCGCTCTCGCTCTCCGCATCTTGCTGCTGCAGGGCCTTGTCAAAGGCGTGGATGGGGAAGTTGTAGATGTCTCCATACTGCAAGGAAAATTGGGATTTTCCATGAGCCACAGCAGGAGGAAGATGGATTTTGGGCTGGGGGGGGCACTGACAATCATGGGGCAGCATCAGACTGAGCTGTGGATCAGCCCCTTCCAGCTCTGAGCCCTCAGTTCTGCACAGAGCAGGAGGGGAACCCTTGTGTTTGGGGGAGCCCTCGTGTTTTGGGGCTCCCTGTGCCTGTAACAGGAGGGCAGCCCTCATGTTTTGGGGCACCCTCGTGTTTTGGGGCTCCCTGTGCACAGGACAGGAGAGGAGGGGAGCCCTTGCGTGTTAGAGCTCCTTGTGCACAGGACAGGAGGGGAGCCCTCATATTTTGGGGCTCCCTGTATTTTGGGGATCCCTCGTGTTTTGGGGCTCCCTGTGCAGAAGACAGGAGGGGAGCCCTCATGTTTTGGGGCTCCACGTGCACAAGAGGGGAGTTTTCATGTTTTGGGGCTTCCTATGCACAGAGCAGGAGGGGAGTCCCTGTGTTTTGGGGCTCCCTGTGTACAGAAGAGGAGAGCAGCGCTCATGTTTTGGGGAGCCCTCATGTTTTGGGGCTCCCTGTGCACAGGAGGGCAGCCCTTGTGTTTTGAAATGGGCTCCCTGTTTTTTGGGGAGCCCTCGTGTTTTGGGGCTCCCTATGTTTTGGGGAGTTCTCGTGTTTTGGGGCTCTATGTGCACAAGAGGGGAGTCTTCATGTTGTGGGGAGCCCTTGTGTTTTGGGGCTCAAGCCAGGAGGGCAGTCCTCATGTTTTGAGGTTCCCTGTGTTTTGGGGCTCCCTGTGCACAGATGTTTTGGGGCTCCCTGTGCACAGAAGGGGAGCTCTCATGTTTTGGGGCTCAAGCAGGAGGGCAGCCCAGGTGTTTTGGAGTTCCCTGTATTTTGGGGTTCCCTGTGTTTTGGGGAGCCCTGTGCACAGAACAGGAGGGCAGCCCTCCTGTTTTGGGGTTCCCTGTGTTTTGGGGCTCCCTGTTCATAGGACAGGAGGGCAGCCCTCATGTTTTGGGGTTCCCTGTGTTTGGGATTCCCTGTGTTTTGGGGCTCCCTGTGCATAGGACAGCAGGGGAGCCCTCGTGTTTTGGGGCTCCCTGTGTTTGGGGTTCCCTGTGTTTGGGGTTCCCTGTGTTTTGGGGCTCCAGGCAGCCCCATTCCCCAGGACAGCTCCCACTGTGCCCCTCACCGTGTCCTGCTTCAGCCTTTCCAGCAGCTCCTTCTCGATGGCGTTGTCCAGCTGGGCAGCGATCAGGGCTTTCTCCTAGGGAGCACAGAGCAGCTGGGTGAGCCCCAGGGGCAGAGGGGGCAGCAGCAGGGACACGAGGTGACACAGGGCACTCGAGGTGACACGGGGGCAGTGGCACAAGGTGACAGGGGCACAGGAGGTGGCACAGGGGCGGTGACACGGGGCACTCGTTACCTCCCGCCTGTTCTCGCGCCGCTCGATCTTCCTGCGCAGCGGGACGAGCTTCCTCCTGCAGGGAACAGGGAATGTCACAGCCCCTGCAGGCAGGAGCTGCACATTCCAAACCTCCTGAGGGGTGGGTGCCTCAGGGGAAGGAAGATCAAAAGCATCCAAAGGATGAGGAAGGGTCTGGAGGGGCCACAGGAGGAGCAGCTCCTCCCGAGGGACAGCTCTGATCTCGGCTCTGTGTGACAGGGAATGGCTGGAGCTGTGGCAGGGCAGGGTCAGGGTGGATTTTAGGGGAAGATTCTTCCCCCAGAGGGTGCTGGGCACTGCCCTGAGGCTGCCAGAGCTGGACACTGCTCCCAGGGATGCACAGGTGGGGTTGTTGGGGGGTCAGTGCAGGGTCAAGAGTTGGGTTCAGTGGTCCCTGTGGGTCCCTGCAGTTCAGGACAATCCCTCAGTGCATTTCTACACTGCATTCCTGCAGCCAGGGATGCACAGGTGGGGTTGATGGGGGTCTGTGCAGGGCCAGGAGTTGAGATCAATGATCCCTGTGGTTCCCCCCAGCTCAGGACATTCCCTCAGTGCATTTACACACTCCAAGTGCATTTATGCACTGCATTCCTGCAGCCAGGGATGCACAGGTGGGGTCTGTGCAAAGCCAGGAGTTGGGATCAATGGTCCTTGTGGGTCCCTCCAGCTCAGGACATTCCCTCAGTGCATTTCCACAATGCACTCCTGCAGCCAGGGATGCACAGGTGGGGCTGTTTGGGGCCTTGTGGATCCCTCAAGCTCAGGACATTCCCTCAGAAGTGCATTTCTACACTGCATCCCTGCAGCTCATCCCTGTCAGATCCATCTAAACCCCTCAGGAAAACAGGACCAGCTCCGTGTCCCAGCAGCTCAGGAGAGGCTCCAGAAGCCACCAGAGGTCACTGCCATGGTCACCCCTGTGTCCCTTACTGTCTCTTGAGGGTCAGTTTGCGGATGCGGATCAGGTACTGCGTGATCTTGGTGAACCTCTGCTTGCACTTGTGCCGGATGAAGCGGGGCCAGTAGATGAGGTTCTCATCGATCTCCTCCAGGGCCTTCTCGTAGTTCTTGCTCAGCAGCACCTGCAGGGACAGGGGAAGGGCTGGGTGACAGAGCAGGACACAAAAGGGACATTTGGGAGGGGCTGCATGGCCCCCAGAGTCACGGAATCATTAAGGAAAAGCCCTCCAAGGTGGTCCCCACCTTGTCCCCATCCCCGAGTACTGAGTGCCACCTCCAGGATGGGGATTCCAAACCTCCCTGGGCAGTTCCATGTCAGCACAGGCTTTCCATGGAGAAATTCCTGCTGCTGTCCACCCTGTCCCTCCCCTGGAAGCAGGGCTGCTGTCCCTGCTGTGTCCCCGAGCTCACCCGCTCCCAGAGGCGCCGCGGAAACGCCGCCCGCTCGATGGTCTTCATGTAGAGATAACAGCGACCTGGGAACAACAGGGAAGGTGGAAAAAAGTGTATTTTATAATTGGCTTTTCACAAATATTCAAACGAATATTATATGCGTTGTGTTAGAAAGTGATGCTGTATTAACTTTCTTAAGTAGTGTGTTAAATTTAGTTTTGGGTTATAACATAAGATTAAGATAGAAACTGTGCTATGTAGGATACTTTTTTAAAAGAAAGGACTTGCACTGAGATAACAGCCACAGGACACCTGAATCTTTCAGAGAAAGAGAATTTATTGCTCCATTATCAGAAGAAATGAACTTCTTCCCACCTTGCTCAGTTAGGATTCAGAGGAAGAAGCTGACACTGCCCAGACAGAATCCTGTGTTTGAATGGAATTTATGCATCATGGATGAGGTGTATGAATATGCAACAGGCTGTTGTTTTTAAGGGTTAATCCTCTCTTAACGTGGGTCCTTTTTCGGGCTTATTTTGCCCAGAAAGAGGTACCCGGACATCCACAACTCTTTGTTTCTATTGTCTCATATTGTCCTAATTCAAATTGTCCAAATTGCTATTACTCTAATTATATTACTATTTTTACAACCATTTTATTACTATTAAAATTTTAAAATTTTAAAAACACGTGATTGGCATTTTTCACAGGGAACAAACCCCCTGAGCCCCTCCCCAGAGCTGCCCTCAGGCAGCACCACCCACCCCTCCCTGCCCACTGCACCCCAGACCCATCCAGGCTGGAAAAACCTTCCAAGATCAAACCCAACCTGTGATCCCCAGTGCCACATCCCGGCATTCCCACAGCACCTTGTCACAGACATCTTTTTATGAAAATTCTTTCCTTAGGATGTTTTCCTCCTGAGAAGCTGGGAGGCCTCAGGAACAAAATGTAAACAATGGTTATCTGCTGCTGTGGAATGCAACAGGT